TATTATAAATATATTTTTTTATTTTTTTTTATGTGACAAAAAACCGTATATATATATATATATATATATATATATATATATATATATATATATATATATATATATATATATATATATATATATATATATATATATATATACATTTGATTTCCCGTTGTTGACCTTCGCTTCTCCAAATCGTAGCCTGAGAACCGCGGCCTCGCAGGGGCGGTAACTAGGGCGGCGGTCTGTGTCCTCTCTCTTCCATCGTCGGCGACGTCGTGCATCGCCCTTCCATCTCTCCCTTTGGTGCCTTTTCAAAGGTACCTGACTCTTGCCTTTTATTCCTGCAGGATTACTCTCTGTAATTAGCAAACTAATAACCGAGCCCTTAATTCGCAAGCAGCGACTGACGGTGTCCCTTTCCAAGAGTATTAGATTCTCTGAGGCTGTTCTGCTTCAGGTTCTGTTTCTTTTGATTCTGATGTTCGAGTTTTGGTCACTGATTTTAGTCGAGAAGCCTTGCACGTCAATTGTTCGAAGTAATTCTCGAGATAAAATAAGTCATTTTTGCCTGCCGCACGCGACTGTGTAATCGCATATGCTTATTATGATGGAAGACGCATGCTCTTCTTTCACAGTTTCAATTGATCAAACTGATCAAAATGTTAATTTTACCGAAGTTCCTAGCTAGATTTTACGGATTCAAATGTTTAGGTTAAAACCAAGGTGGAAATTGGAATAGATGTAATATCCACTTCCTGGTAGTGAAGTGATTGAAACCTTAATATTTGGGCAGCTCAAATTTGCAGACTTGAAGTACATGTAATGCTTGGTGGATCCTACATCATTCTGGTATTTTTTGGACAGGTTATCAGAAATGGAACCAGCATGTGCATATTAGGTTTTGGACTGGATCTTTTAGGTTGTTATCAAATTCAGCTTCAGATCTTAGTTGATCGCACAATATGTAGATTTTATCACATGGTAAGTGTTTTCAGCATGATGATTGCCATATCAAATTTTTTGTGGTTGCTAACTTTTAGAAGAATTTTAGAAGTCTGAGATCGATCTTTCTGCCTATGGTGCGAGTAATAAAGATTTCAGTTGGAAAAATGAGATATTTTTTAGTAGTTTCTTGATGAAGACATCAGTAACATTATGGTTCTTGTAATTATGAGTTATTATATGTTAATACAAATGAGCAGTCTAAAAGAAGCTGATTTGTGCCTGATATGTTCGATGATATATGGTTCACAAAATGACTTTACTGATCAAGAACATTTGCTGCTAGATGAAGTATGAATTGCGGGGAAGTCCCTGAGCTTGAAAATTTGTACTTCTTGTGATTGTATTACAGCACCCATGAATGCTTCTTGTAAACTCAATCTTTCCTTTTTTTCCTAATCACATCATGAATTTGAATGGGTGAGTTGGCTCATTTGTACCCTATTTACTTCAGCCACCATCCGTTAAAAAGAAAAACTTCAATCACCTTCTCTTTTTGTTGAACATTTAGTCCAATCAGCTTCAATAAACTTGAGGTCAGATATATAGATGGGAAGGTTGAAGCATTTGCCTCCTTGGCGATCAGGTGATCTTTTTTGTTCTCTCTCGTCATATGATGGTATGCAAAACTGCAAATTTTATGGGCTCATAGTCTTCATATTGCTCTTGAAACCCCATATATTTGATTCTAGAAGTCGTGGAAATAGGTTCTTCCTTTTTTGTATTATAGATTTTCTATTTCCTCTTCCTTTGGAGCGCAGTAGTCACCGGTCCAGCTGTGTATATCTATCTCCTTTTGAAAAGTTTGCCTCCGGTCAACAGAAGTCCTTTTGGTGCATGAGCACTGAACATGAGTTGTTTTTCGTCTCTTCCCTTTTTTTAGGACTATAAATCCATTTGTACAACTTTGAAATCATACAGCAAATTTGAATTGCCAGGTTAGCTTTTCTTTTCTTAAATATGATGTTAGATTTATTTGGATGAGTCGCTCCTTTTTTTTTTAATTTAAATGGATACTTTGTTTTTAACTGACTGGTATCTACTATGTTAGCAGGTGATCCTCCAATCTGTCAATGGAGGCAAAAATTTTTCGGTTTCTTAAGATTGTCGGTGTGGGGTTTAAAGCAAGAACTGAAGCAGAAGGTCGACAACTGTTTCTGAAGCTGGGTTACAGCCATGAGGTGGAATTCTCTGTTCCTCCTGCTGTTCGAGTTTTCTGCTTCAAACCCAACATAATTTGTTGTACTGGGATAAACAAAGCGCGAGTACACCAGTTTGCAGGTGCCGTCCGTAGCTGCAAACCTCCCGAAGTTTACAAGGGCAAGGGTATAATGTACATTGATGAAGTCGTGAAGAAAAAGCAAGGAAAGAAGTCAAAGTAAAGCTAGAAGGATCGTATGGTCTATGTGGTTTATGCATAAATCTGGAAAATGACGACTGCCTTTTGATGTGTGAAATTTTCATTCCTCCAGCAATAACCGATTTCATTCATGATCTAGTGCAGTTGGCTGTTGGATTTCTTGGTCTCCCATATATGGTATTAACCATGGGGGCAACTGCCCTCCTGTGTTTTGACTACATTAGCTGAAATTACTTAAGAGCATCAGTCTTATTATTCTGGTAGAGTGTCTCTTATTTTTCTAAAAAACATAATTACCTCAAATCTTTATCCTGTCTCAGTTGTTGCGTTCGCCCCATCACGAGGCTCCACTATTGCTCGACGATATCAAGGTGAGGGATGAGGAAGGGATGCTTACGAGAGCTGATCCTTCACCCACAACCTGCACCCCAACTTCTCTTTTGCCTCCTTAGGATCTTGTGTTGTCATTAATGGAGCTAGCTATTGGATCTCGATACAATCAACTCGCCATCGAGCTGGTAGTAGCACCTCTGTAGGAGCAGCCCTGTCACTCTTTGCCCTCACCTTTGCCGATGGAGTCCCTAAACCACCACTTTTCTTAGTACCGAGAAGAACCCTTCTCCATCAACCATCCTCTTCCCTCTTCAAAATCCTCTACCCCACCATTGTCCAATAATGACGAGGTGCGGGACAAAATCCTCTACCCCACCATTCACCAAAGAGATCGATTCCCTTACCTTTATTAAAAAATAAATTTTTTTCTTCAATTCCTTTAAATATGTTATATGTAGTTTTAAAATATTTTTTATTCCTTTAAATGTCAAATCTGGGTGATATAGGGATTTTTTTGACAATGACAATGACAAAAAAATATTTTTTCTTTAAAAAAAAATTCAAATTATTTTTAAAAGAAATTTGCCCTCAAATCTGGGTAATTTAGGGATTTAGATTTTGAAAACAAAAAATTTGGAAACTGTATGTACACTGCGTAGCTAAGGATTCAAATGCATAACGTAATTATCACATCACTCACAACTCAAGATAGTTAATCAGCATGGCAAAGAAAATTAGTGGGAGGACACAAATCCATGCATTTGGTGAACCGTCTCTTTCCATAACAACAGAAACCAACTAATTTGCAGGTGTTGACACCCTCCGTCCACAGTGCTCAAATAACAAAATTTTGATTAAAATGACGAAATAGGATCTTCGAAAGTGCTTAATACCCTCAGTCCTTCCATACTGCTTGATAAACAAAAGAAAAGGGAATGCGACAGCAACAATCTATTTCATCCGTCACCAGCCGGCGCAAAGGAGCTGCTTAGAACACTCGATACGGCTTTCCCATGGTGCTCTTCAGGTACAAGCACCTGACCTGTAAGAACATTGCAGTCAGTACTGCAGCATGTAAGACTAAATATTCTCCGTTTTAATATGAGATGGTGACTATCGATCGATTGCACAACAAAAATCTTTAGTAATAAGAGCCATTGTGAACTTCGAGATCCCATGGCTGACAAGTAGTAATAATTATTCATTATCTACAAAAAGATATTCCATGTTACAACTATGGTCAAAAAAGATATTCCATATTTTCAGTCCTTTCTAGCAGAGGAATACTTATTGTAATCGAACATATAGGAATACCAACCTTATTTAATAAGCAAAAGACAAATATATATATATCATCAAGATAGATAACCAGCTATTAAATACCTATATTCCCTAATTGATCTTGATGAGTATGACATCACTTTCTACACGAAAATCTGTGGATTAGTTCCTATTAGCATCAAATGATATTACCCGAACAAAAAAATCAAGCCTATTTATTTACAAGGAAATGACACAATGATTTAATTAGTTCCATAGCAACGAACATGAAAATAATCCAATTGACAATGACAATTTTACCCACATTTTGCCAGTTCTTCTTCAACAAAGACACAAGGAAATTCACGCTGAGCTGCACATTCTGAAAGATCTGCTTCTCCTCCATCGCACAGTTGCCCACAGCAACTCCCATGCAAAGAACTTTCTTAAGTTGAAATTTTACCATTGCTTTTGTCTCGTTAACCTTAGACTCCAAAGATTCCTGGTGAGTAACCAATGTAGGAAACTTCCCTGCATAACATATCAAAGTCAAAACTGTTATCAGAGAGCAACAAACTATCAAAGAACAGACTCCCCACAGTAGCATATATATAACTAGATCAATCAACAGATTACAAAGATCTTAATACAACAAAACCAAGAAAAAGAAACACACATGAAAACATTACAAGGTTCTCCAAAAATGCTGCCAGATTACCATTTCGAGCTAACATTGAATTTTACCTTGGCAAGTAAAATGGATAAAAAGCAGTGGCAAAAACAGTGACTGTCCGGCAGTTAAGAAATTCAATTTAATCTTGAAATCCATGTGGATCAACTTCTTTTCCATTAATTTGAAATTGATGGTTATCTTTGCCTATATTCTCATCAGCTATTCATTAAATTGGATCAGAAATCCATTGCAATCCTATGGGTTTCTAAAAAGGAAATGACTCTATAACAACCTAAAATGTCTGAAACTATACAAGTTAATAAGCATTGAAAAAGACATTGGACAGTTACATTTTTCTGCAATTTTCAGTCTGATTTTCGCAGGGATTTTTGCTAGGTATTTTCCAAAGGGCCTTAAAACTATTTTAGAGTTCAAGCAAGTTAAGCAATTGCAAACATAACCTTCTACACTCTCATCTAACTTTACAATATATGAGCTAAGCTTAAAGGTTCTGTTCTTCTGCATACATCATATCAGATCAAAACAATCCAATAATTACTCTGTTATGATTTTTTAAATTCTTATGTTTAGATGGCTTTATAACATAGCCAGTAACTTCTTGAGATTGCTATTGACCTAAAGTCATGTAGTCAGTATTCTGATGCAACACTATTATTCCTTTTATCACAAAATCAAAATGCAAAAATCCACAGGAAAAACTAAAAATTTGAAAGCTATAACTGCAACATGATATTGCCAAATTACAAAGAAAATAAAAGTTAGTGCTTTAGTTCTTGCCTGCCTTGTTAAGACCAGGGCCAAGGAGACGAGGGATCTGTTTGATAATAGCCTCTGATGCAAGAAAAGCATGGTACTTCTTTGCAAGTTTTTTAACCAACTTTTTGTTTTTGTTCATCTTTTTTAAGCCTTCCACATCCATGTAGTCAAGTCCTATCTTCTCTGCCTAAAGGTGACAACAGCAAGAATTAATACAACACACTGCAAACAGATGCATGAAAACATGAGAATCAGAATCAGACAAACATCCTAATATGATTCTACAAGAAGATAATATGGAGTTATAGAAGTTCACAGAAAATATTTTTACTACATTTATTTCTGGTTCAATATTGAAATAATGTGAAGAATACCAGATAAAGCAAAATGTTCTATTAGTTTCATCAACAGATAGGTTGTAAGAACCATAGCTTTAATACCACAATCAAAGAGGGCGACAAGTATAGATTTACATGTATGCATATGATGCACAAGTATTGGACATTGTTCATGAGGATAGATACTATAACCTAGGTAACACTAACTGCCATTATAATACAGAATGCATTAAAAATAATAAAACTTGCTCTTAGAGCATTTGGATATATAATGAATCGAAAGTCACTTAAATTATTATACAGTACAGTATAAATAGTTAAATAAAGTGCTAGGAGCAAGTAAATGATGATGAGAATAGTACAAGCAATCCTTCTCAGATGGATCAGAACAATTCATAATATGGGACCCTTTAATAATTCTTTTAAAAAATAAATCTACATGAGAAATATAAACTTCCAATATGTTTTACCTCCTCCACATGTTGAGCATCTCCAAGCATGCAAACCTTCATTTTAGGGCGAGGAATATGGGGTAGCTTCACAGATCCACTGAATCTCTTGTCCTTTTGGGGATCATAATTTTTCAGCCCAATTTGCAACTCCACTGTTTCAGTGAATTTACGTTTCTTCTCCCTAGAATCACCAGCAACTTGGGAGATTGCTTCCCTCAGGACATCACTCTGTAACTTGCTGTAATAATAATGATGAATTCAAAATAGTAAGTTAAACATGATACATACATTCAAAAGAAATAAAGCTTCCCTAAAATTACTGTGAATTAATTAAATCATAATGAAAATGGTAATAGAAAACCAGTGCTTCAAATGAAGATATTTCAAATAATGTAAAGAGTAAACCCACATGATTATTATAGTTGCAGCATAAATAGAAGCAAACAAGAACACAGAAGATCACTTGGTGCGAAAAGCAAAATTAGATTTGTAAAAAAAAATAGTACCAACCCGACCATGAGAAGAACCATCTTAGGGTTTTGCGCTATGGAGGAGCCAATCAACAACAACATAGTTGTAAATCCCAACTATTTGGGATTAATTACATGAATCTTTTGGTCATTAATACCCATGTTCATGAGATCTAATATAGTTTTACACTGATTGTCAGTGACCTAATGCAATTTCATCTGGGCTTATGATCGGTATTGCCAATGTTATAAGAGATCTTGTCAATGACAAATAAAAGCACAACCAAATTCCTCATACAAGTTATATATTAAAAAAGAACATTATAGTAGTAATGTGAAGCTCAATGGTTACAATGGCTAACAACCATACTACTTAGTTTGCAAACAATCATAGCGAGGACTGTTGAATATTGCCAGCATGACCATGTTGGTGAGCTATTTACAACATATAATTTCTCTTTCATGCACGAAAAACACCATGAACATCAAAGAGCAACAGCGTGTATATCTCTAGTAAGTGCTAATAGAGTAAAAACCCAATAACCAAGTCAACGACAACATTGTCCAGAAATCTATTCGAATTTGTTGCCAGATCTTGATGATCGCCCAAAACAGGGGGAAAAAGGGGCAATAATAGAAAAGAAGATACTTTGGCGTTCTGCTCTGTACAAACAACGAGTCATGAATGATTCATTTGCGCTACTACTACTAGTAGTAAAAAAAACCCTAACAAACAGCTAGTGGATCATGAAACAAGATATCGATCCTAAAAGAACAAGGAAGAGTGACCATCGTGCATAAGATATTCCTGTAGCACCTCATTCTTTAGTCGAGAGCCTCTTCCCTCCTTCAAACCTTCAAGAAACCAAAGAAAACGACGTCAGCCCCCCGGCCGAAAACAAATACAAAAGAAAATGTGATGGAATCGCCACCAAGAACGAAGCAAACAGATCTAGCACGCAGCAGAAAAGATTACACGGCGAACTAGATCGCGATTAAAGATTAGATGGCAATAAGCCTAGAGAGGAACATCAAGATGGACCACGACACGGGTGCAGCAGACTCACCGAGAGTTGCGGGAGCGACGACGACGAAGCGGGCGGCGGATGATGGATATATAATGATCTCGCTAGATTTGAACCCTAAATTGCAATCTTCTTTGCCGTTGGATTTGGATCCAACGGATGATACGTCTTCCAGCTTTCTTAAGTAGATGTGCCTTATGCGGGCCTCACAATGGGTCGGGCCGTAACACTGCGGACTTGAAGTAAATATACAGACATGATCGTAAATTCCGGTTTTGCATAGATTGACTCGATTCGAGTCCAAACGTTTTTAGTAATCGGAATACGATCGTTGAAGATATCACTATAGCTGTCGATGAATGTACTAACATTCCACTTCGAACAATCCTTCCATCATATTTAAATAAAGTAGAATTACGATTGTGGAGTATTTCTTATCGACTGATTTGTCGATTTAAGTTATGTGACGAGTAGTCATCGGTTGAGGCTGCTGTGCTTACCGCTGTCAGTAACGACAAGCACATCGAGCGAGTGACCAAGTGCCAATACCCCATGACGTAAGTTCAACCGGGATTCTGGGATTGTGTGAAGGCACGCAGCATCCAAAGGCCAGATGATCTTTTTATGGCGTTTACTCGTCAGGGGAAAGGAGAAATGGTGGCCTTCTACTGTTCTGTTTTCTCGAGGAACAGCGTCGGCTCCCTGTAGATATATATACGCACTTAGTGGAGGAATCCATGGTTTGGAGTCGGATGCGGACGACGGTGGGCTGCTTCGCATTCCTTGGCTTCACCAAAATCTATTGCTTACTCAAACATGCTATTTAGATTCAGTGCATGCAGTGTTTTGTGCTCTCAATGCATCAAAGATTCGCGACGCCAAGATCAGGTGTCGTTTTGATTTCCAGGATCAGATGACTCCTAAGTTCGATGTTAGATGCCAATGGCTTCTTCGACATTGGCTTCAATTTGTTTGTCCTTCTAGGAATGGGCATTACTTGCATCCAAGCTTGTGGAGCCATTGTTCGACTGGTCATGGTTCCATCAAATCATCGGTACTAATAATATCCACACGGCAAAATTCCTCCTCACCCAAAGCCACCCTCCCCCCCCCCCCACGTCATTTTCAGACACTCCTACGGATCTCATCCAGATGCCTGCTCTCCTGCATGCAGAACCAGGTGGGTGTGAAGCACAAGGATCATCTCGCTTGTTCCGTCGCCTCTTGTTTCCGCCACCGTCACCGGGCAGTGCCCGACTCCCTGGCTCTTCTGGTACACTCACAGTTGCCTCCCTCAGCATTATTTGAATGATTACACATAACAAGAGCAACACGTCCCTTCTTCCTCTGTCCTCCTCCCCCGACTTCAGACCAAATTTCCAACTCGTCTTCCTGTTACCAACACTATATTAAAAACAAAGAATAGAACAAAGCCCTTCTCGATTCCATAACCCACAAAACCTCCATGAATTCACAAAAAGAATTAAGTTGCGTCTCCATAAAACCCACGGCGTCCAGCCGACACTCCTCGGTTCCACTCCGAAGCTCGGTCTCAAGAGCTCGATAATACCATTAGATAAGATCAAGAATAGGAGTGCGAGACAGACGAGGCAATGGCGTCGCTCCACCGCCGCCGCCGCCACCTCTTCCTCTTCCTCTTCCTCCTCGCCCTAGGGCCATGGGCTGCGGCAGCGTCGGAGGACGTGCCGGAGGCCGACGCCCTTCTCGCCCTCAAAGCCGCCATCCATGACCCCTCCGGGGCCCTCTATGCCTGGAACTCTGCCGACGGCCATTGCTCCTGGCCTGGCGTTGCCTGCGACCCCATCCGAGTCTTCGTCCTCTCCCTGGACCTCACCGGTCTCAACCTCTCCGGCACTCTGTCCCCGGCCGTCGGCCGCCTCCACCACCTCGTCAACCTCTCCACCGCCTCCAATTCCCTATCCGGTCCCCTCCCTGCGGAGTTATCTCACCTCTCCAACCTCCGCCACCTCAACCTCTCCAACAACCTTTTCAATGGCTCCTTCCCCTCAGCTTTTTCCCGGCTCAAGAACCTCCTCGTCCTCGACCTCTACAACAACAACCTCGCCGGCACCCTACCGCCCGAGGTCTCCGAGCTCCCCAACCTCCTTCACCTCCACCTTGGCGGCAACTTCTTCTCTGGTGTCATCCCGCCGGAGTTCGGCCACTGGGAATTTCTCGAGTACCTCGCTGTCTCCGGGAACGAGCTCGGTGGTCCCATCCCACCGGAGCTCGGCAACCTCACCCGCCTTCGCCAGCTTTACGTCGGCTACTTCAACAGCTTCGAGGGCGGCATCCCGCCAGAGATCGGCGGCCTCTCGGAGCTCGTTCGCCTCGACATGGCCAACTGCGGCCTCACCGGCGACATCCCGCCGGAGCTCGGCAAACTCCAGAACCTCGATACGCTCTTCCTCCAAGTGAACGGCCTCTCAGGCAGATTACCGCCGGAGCTCGGTGGCCTCCGCAGCCTCAAGTCAATGGACCTCTCCAACAACGCGCTCACTGGCGAGATCCCCGGTTCCTTTGCCGATCTCCAGAACCTAACCCTGCTCAATTTGTTCCGGAACAAGCTCCACGGATCTATACCGGAGTTCGTCGGCGACCTGCCAGCACTGGAGGTGCTCCAGCTCTGGGAGAATAACTTCACAGGCGGAATTCCCCGGCGGCTCGGTCAGAGTGGCCGGCTCCAGATTCTCGACATCTCGTCGAACAAGCTCACCGGGACCCTGCCGCCGAACCTCTGTTTCGGCAACAGGCTGCAAACCCTCATCGCCCTCGGTAACTTTCTATTCGGCTCGATACCGGAGACACTTGGCCAGTGTCAATCCGTCAGCCGGATCCGAATGGGGGAGAACTACCTCAACGGATCGATCCCTGATGGATTCTTCAGCTTGCCCAAACTCTCCCAGCTGGAGCTCCAGGATAATCTACTCGCCGGCGTGTTTCCAGACACCGGCGCGGCTGCCATCTCTCCGGACCTCGGCCAGATTAACCTCTCCAACAACCGGCTCTTGGGGCCGCTGCCACCGTCTATCGGTAACTTCTCTGGCCTCCAGAAGCTCCTGTTGAACCAGAACCAGTTCTCCGGCGGCATCCCGCCCGAGATTGGAAGGCTTCAGCAGCTGTCTAAGGTGGATTTTAGCGGCAACCAGTTCTCCGGTCCGATAGCACCCGAGATTAGCCGGTGCAAGCTTCTAACTTTCGTGGACCTCAGCCGCAACAAGCTCTCCGGCGAAATCCTACCGGAGATTGCCGGTATGAGGATCCTGAACTACCTGAACTTGTCTAGAAACCAGCTCGAAGGGAGCATTCCGCCGTCCATCTCCACGATGCAGAGCCTCACGGCGGTCGATTTCTCCTACAATAACTTCTCCGGCTTAGTCCCCGGCGTCGGCCAGTTCAGTTACTTCAATGCGAGCTCGTTCGTTGGCAATCCCGAACTCTGTGGGCCGTACCTCGGTCCCTGCAGCTCTATGATTCATGGTGCCGGCTCTGTTCATGCAAGGGTGCCACTTTCAGCCTCCTCTAAGCTGCTGTTGGTCATTGGTCTCCTCATCTGTTCCGTTGCCTTTGCGATGGCCGCCATCATGAAAGCGCGGTCTCTAAAGAAGGCCAGCGAGGCCCGAGCGTGGAAGCTCACGGCTTTCCAGCGTCTCGGCTTCACCTGCGACGACGTCTTGGATTGCCTCAAGGAGGAGAACATCATCGGTAAAGGCGGGGCGGGTATCGTGTACCAGGGCATCATGCCCAACGGTGAACGGGTGGCGGTGAAGCGGCTCCCCGCTATGAGCCATGGCTCGTCGCACGACCATGGGTTCTCGGCCGAGATACAGACGCTCGGCAGGATCCGGCATCGCCACATCGTCAGACTCCTGGGTTTCTGTTCCAACCACGAGACCAATCTACTGGTCTACGAGTACATGCCCAACGGGAGCCTGGGGGAAGTTCTTCACGGTAAGAAGGGCGGCCATTTACTCTGGGAAACCCGGTACAAGATTGCGGTGGAGGCTGCCAAGGGTCTCTGCTATCTTCACCACGACTGTTCGCCACTGATCCTGCACCGGGATGTGAAGTCCAACAACATCCTGCTCGATTCAAACTTCGAAGCCCACGTCGCAGATTTCGGGCTCGCCAAGTTCCTGCTGCAGGACGCCGGTGCCTCCGAGTGCATGTCGGCCATCGCCGGCTCCTACGGCTACATTGCTCCAGGTAACTTAATCATCAATTTCTCGCAATCGGATTCCATCGATGGTCCAGTTATGGAAGTCAAAATGAATCCATGCATGGAAAGCGTTCATTTGGCCAACCATGAATGGTTCGTGGTCGCGTGCTCTGTTTTCTCAGGGTCTAATTACGTGAGTGTGCCTTTCCATATCATTAGGTTACGAATCAAGTCCGGGGTGTAGAACGCCTGTCCTGCTCTTATACGAGGGCTAAAGTGGCATTCCATCGACAGTCGGACTACCGGAGATAGTTCTTTCGATTGACTCCTTTTTGTTGGTCCCGCAGAATACGCATACACGTTGAGGGTGGACGAGAAGAGCGACGTGTACAGTTTCGGCGTGGTGCTTCTGGAACTCGTGACCGGAAGGAAGCCTGTGGGCGAGTTCGGTGAAGGCGTCGACATCGTCCAATGGGTTCGAAAGATGACGGACTCCAACAAGGAGGGAGCGCTGAAGATTCTGGATCCCAGGCTTCCCACGGCCCCCCCGGACGAGGCCATGCACGTCTTCTACGTCGCCACGCTGTGTGTACAGGAACAGAGCGTGGAACGCCCCACGATGAGGGAGGTTGTCCAGATTCTTACGGATCCGCCGAAACAGGGAGAAGACCGCGAGACGCCCATCAAGGAAGCGGAGCAGCAGCAAGCAGCACAAAGCACACCACCGCCTGATCTCCTCAGCGTTTGAATTGCTGGGGATCCAAAAGTTTTGCTCCACGCAGGGCTGGGGAGAACTCTTCTCTACGGCTGAAGCGGTGGGGGGTTTAGGTTACTAGGCAATTTGGTTTCAGGTCCTCTATTGTGTGCGTGATCCTCGTAGCTCTTCACATGCTGTGCTGCAGGTGGTGATGGTTGTGT